TTTTTTTTGGCTGCTTGGGGCGGCAAAAACCCTGGAGTCGGCCCTGGTAGGGAGCCTGCCTTAGCCCCGCTGCGCCATGGGGCTGGCAATCCCGTGGGCCGGATTGAAAGCCCTGACGGGCCAGATCCAGTCCGCGGGCCATAGTTTGCCCTCCCTGGTGTAGTGGATACATGTATCAAAATGGACAGCTGGAGACCCATGCCAGTGGAAGCATGTAACTCCACGGGTAATAATCAGTAACTAAGATATCTAGTTAAATCTTCTAGATCTATAATTCATGGAATTTAAGGGAATAAAAAGCAGAACCTCAGTGTAACTACAGTTGCTAGATTGTACAGCGTACAATAAACCTTTAAACAAACTTTCCTGGAGGCCGCATCGCACCCACAGAGACTCAATTTCACTCTCGTGTCCTCTCTAGATAGTTTGAGAAACTGAGATCCGCCTTGTTCAAAGCAATAAAGTCACAAAGAAACTGTTGTCCTAACTCAGTGCCCACCACCCAGGTCAGGATATTGCATTTTGAACCTAACTGAGCCCATTGCTGCTCTTGAATGTATCAATTTCATCAGTTCAAACGCTATCAGAAATAAGTCGGAAGCCACCGTGTATAAGAATACACTGGTGCCAAACTTGAAAAAAGCAGCTGAACAGGACCTACAGAGCTTCTCGAGAAATAATAATCAAATTCATTCACAACGTGGGAATCTTATCTCAGCTTCTTCCTCTAACTGACTTTGTTCCAGGAAGGTGATTTCATTCTCTGCTTTAACAACTGCATGTCCTCAGTACATGGCCATTCCAGCTTGGCCTGATCCTCAGAGATTTGGGGAAATCAGTCAAGTTGTGATTCACTTGACCCATCCCTAGCAAGGACACTTCTAGGGTTTGTGCCCTTGGTGGATTTTTTGATGCTTGATAAGTTTTGAGTAGTACTTGAACTCTTTCCCGCAGTGAGGGCAGACATAGGGCCCTTCTGCTCTGTGGACTCTTTGATGGCCAATGAGATGTGTGCCCCGACTAAAGCTTTTACCACACATTCGGCACTTGTAGGGCTTTTCTCCCTTGTGGAGTCTCTGATGAGAAAGGTGGGAGCTGACACTGAAGCTTTTCCCACACTCATTGCATTTGTAGGGTCTCTCCCCCGTGTGGATTCTCAGGTGTTTAGTGAGGTCTGAGCTGTCCCTGAAGGTTTTCTCACAGTCATGACACTTATAGGGCTTCTCTCCACTGTGGATTCTCTGATGTGTCATATGGTTTGCATTGGCACAGAAGCATTTCCCACATTCGGGGCATTGGAAGGTTTTCTCTCCTGTGTGGGTTCTCTGATGTCTAGCGAGGCCTGAGTTGTCTCTGAAGCCTTTCCCGCACTCGGGGCATTTGCTGCTTCTCTTTCCTGAGCAGATTCTCTGGTGAGTAAGCGAGGCTGATCTCTGAGGGAAGCTTTTCCCACAGTCACTGCCTGCATAGGGTCTCTTTCCAACGGGGATTCTGAGCAAAACAGATTCTTTGATTTTCTCAACTCCTCTGCTCCTGTGAGGGGATTCACATGGTCTCTTCCCTGGATGGTTTCCCTGCTACCGCTCTGACTTGTGCTGACTTTCCCGGGCTTCTTCTTGATCAGGACTCAGGGAAATGTTCCCTTCAGATCTTCTTGATGGAGTCCTGTGCAGTTCCATTTGCTCCAGACCTTCCTGCTGAAGATTCTCATTCACCGTCCCATCACCTGCTGGGATAGAGAGAAAATCCAGACAGGAGTCAGTCCCTGTGCTGGGAGGAAAGGGAACCACAGAGAGGAGAACAGGAAAGGGGGGAACAAACCCAAATAACTCCCGGGGAGAACGAAATACCAGGAACTGAAGCCTACTCCTCCAATCCTTCCCCAGGGAACCCACCCTTCCTCCACATCCTCTGAATAGCTTGTTGAAAATGCATAAGTGACATCTGCCAGGAGGATACAATAACTAGTTTCTGAGTCAGTTTCGCTGATTCCTTACCTATGTGGGCATCTCTTGGGATCTCCCTTTCCTCGTAGCCCTGGAGATCGGGGACCCACGGCTCCTCCCCTCGTTCCAGCCAGGAGATCACTTCGGGCTTGGAAATCAGAAATCCTGCTTGGGGGGGAGGGGGCAAGGAAACAAGTGTTGATCTTGTTCATTAAGGTCAGTGCTGTTACTCCTTCCAGACCCAGGATCTGAGTAGCCCATCCAGAGAGGGTCCTTCCTCTCTCCACCCTTTACACTATGGGGACTGGGCTATACACTGTACAAGATCCCATGATGCACTGGTCTGGAGCAAGTGTTCATAGAAATCATAGGACTGGAAGGGACCTCGAGAGATCATCTAGTCCAGTCCCCTGCACTCAAGGCAGGACTAAGTATTGATCCACTCTGCCTAGGGAATGACTCTAGCTTTTATTTCCCTGGGAGGGTGGGCAGAGTTGTGACACTCTTTAGGTATCTGGGGTACAATTAAGTTTCTGCCACTATCATTGCATGCACAAGGGGCTACCCCCCCTCCTCCAAGATCCTGGTGTGCCGTCTTTCATCCCCCTCTTTTTCAGGGACTCCCTACAACCCCCCCTCTCCCTCCTTCCCGGGCCCGTGTGCCCCAAGCCCTCATTCCCGCATTCTGGGGCCCCTCATCTTCCCCCAGGGCGTGGGCTCTATCTGTGACCCCCATACTCCCCTCCTGCCATATGCCCCCATGGCAGGGTTCTCTCGACCCCCCATTTCTCTCTTCCCCCATAGCAGAGTTCCCCTTTTCCCCCATGTCAGGGCCTCTTATACCACCATTTCCCCCTCCCCATATGGCAGGGGCTCTGAGTGCCTCCCTTCCCCCACACCAGGGTCCCCAACTCTCCACCCCATGCCAGGGCCTGCGTGCACACCCCTTGCCCTCCCATTTCTCTCTCTCCGCCCCCCCCCGGTTATTTCTATTCTTTCTGTCTGGGTGATAAGTCATTCAGGGTGTCACCATGTTAAAAACTATTGGGAGGATGAGCAAAGATGAGCTGCCGGATTGTTATGCTGAAAAGCATCAAGGCTGCCGTGAACCAGTTGCGTGAGCTATAGACAATTGCAGAGGTGGGTGAAACCATGGCTGTGCTAAACAGATGGCAGGGGCTGCATTTGTTCCCACTTCCCCCTTTTATATTTTTCCAATGTTTCCCACAATCAATAACGTTCTGGCCACCGATGCCTAAAACATTCCCCAAAATGTTGAAATTGATTGAATGTGGCATTCAAAAGTTATTGCATTACCGACTGACAAAGAGAAATGCCTTCACATTGACTGTAGGGCTTTTACAATCTCAGCCAACTACTTCAAAAACCCTCACTGAGCTCCAGAACCCAGCCCCTCTCACGGTGAGGAACCATCGTTTCACAGAGATCAACCACGGCCACAGAGGGACACCCGGAACAACACCCTCCTTCCAAGAATCCAGCAAACTGGCTCAACAGGTAGCCCTGGGGTACTAACAGTAACTAGACCCAGCCCCAGGACTCTCACCTGTGCCCTTCCCAGCTGGTGGAGGAGAGTCAAGAATATCTGGGGCCTCCCGCTAACACAGTTGGGCAAGGCGGAATACTGGCCACATGAAAGTGAAGCACATATGAAAATCTGGCCCCTGGGAACTTAGGCAGAGTTGAGTCATGAGACACTTGTCCATCCCTGAGACAGCAGAGGGGTGTGTGGCCAGGACCTGTCCTGGGAAGGACGAGTGGGGAGACAATGAGTTTGTCACACCTGCAAGCCTTGGTTATGGGGAGAACAACACCAACATTATGTCCTGAATCTCCTGTCCCATGCGAGGGGATGTGGGGGGAACAGTCTCACACAAATGGGGTCTGGGGACTATTGGGGCTGATCCCCTTGAAATCTGGGGGGGGGGGCACTGAAGAAACCTGCACAGAATTTGACCCAGGTGCTTCGGAGATGCACCCCCCCCCCCAGGCTTCTAACAACCTGGGGACAGGAATCCTTACCCAGTGAGGTCACAGTCTCAAAATTCTCCCGCATGACAGCCGTGTACAGAGCTCTCTGACCTGGGTCCAGCAGAGCCCATTCTTCCTCTGTGAAATACACAGCCACCTCCTCTAAGGTCACCAGCTCCCCTGCAGCCATTTCCCTGCCCTGTCCTTAGGAGGATGGGATGATCTCCAGTGAAACGTGGATGTGATTCTGCAGCCTGTCAGGGCAAGAAGGGTGATAGGGGATGTTTCAGAAGGGGCTTTAATCCATTTCATGCCCCAATTCTCCCCAGGTTCTTTCCCTGCAGATAGATGCTCTAGAGATTCTGCCAGGATGGGAAAATGGTTAAGCCAAGATTTTCAAACACAGCAACCAAAATTTGGATTTTTAAATCTCCAGTTGCAGTCAGGGCCCACCGTACATCTACTGGGAGCCGCAGACTCTCCACCTGACCGGCAGGGGATAGGTGGAACCGAGAACAGCCCCCGGCCCATGTCCCCGCCCCCTGTGCTTCCCGCCTAGGGTGGATGGAGGGTCCGTGGCTCCCCATGTGGTTTGTACCATGGCCGGGCTGCAGCTCCAAGGCCTGTCCCCCGGCTGGAGCAGTGTCAGGGTAAGAGCCACGCAGGCTGCTGTAGGGAGCCACGGACCCTCCTGCCCTGGGTGGGGGGCCCACAGAGTGGGGATATGGGCTGGGGCCTGCTCTTGGCCCACTCCACTCCCCCTGGGCAGGTGGAGGGTCCACGGCTTCCTTGGGTGGAAGGCAAGGGGCCACAGAGGGGGTGGGGGCCCCTGCTCCCCCCACTTTTGGGAAGGATCCACCACCCCTGTGGCAATGCCATTTGGCTCCCTCTCTCTGGCCCAGTCTGGTCAGGACATTTTTTAGGACTAGAATAAAGTCCAGGGTCCCAGGAGATGATGGGGGTGGCAACCATAACAGTGAAGCTCATTCCAACGGCCAATTTTTTACCTCAAAGTCTCTATCTTTAAGGACCCCAGAAAAATGCTGTGCAGTGCAGCTGACATACTGTGGGGGGCAACACCACTTGCTGCCAACTGGGGAATCCTGCAGGCTGCAATACACCAGGCTGCTACCGATGCCTGTGCCTCACTTAGCCTGCAGGCAGCACAGGGAGGAGGCCCAGAGCAGGGGAGGCTGTGGGGCTGTTTCAGCTCATATGCACTGTGAAGTCTCAGGGGGCTTGGTGATGCAGGGTTCCCAGAGGCAACATGGAATAATGGGGTGCCCAGCACTGGCCCTGGGGGGATGGCTCCTCAACCCCACAGATCTCACTGCCAAGGCGTTTCCCCTGAGACTCAGCCTCACTTTCCCCTTTGTTAATTTCTCCCCATCCCCCCTGCTGCTTTTGCCCCTAAATTCTTTATGTTCAAAAACAGAACCAGAAACAATAGAACCCCTGAGATGGTGGCCACAGAAAATACTGACCCTAGGACCAGTTCTCCATACACATCTCTCACACTCCATGAGACCTCCTGTTCTCAGTCATATCTCTGATAACAGTCCTGCATGTCTGGACTGGATGGGTCCCTCCACAGAGGAGATAGGCAAATTCCCTCATGCAGCCCCCCTCCCCGCCCCCAGCTAGGATGCAGGACTCTGGAAAGTCTGGAGGATGCAGTCACATTAGCACTGGCCTCCCCACTCCTCAGACACAGTTGGTGGGGACAGAAATGAGGACACCCCAGGAGGGGTGTGTGACATTGCACTCCATATGTTTTATGGAAATATGCTAATGAGTGTGAATATAATGTAACTGGAATATGCTTCATTCAAAAGGTCTCTTGTAAAGTATCTTTACAAAGCTTATAATCTACTGAGTGTGGTCATCCTAATAGTATGTATGTATCATTCGTGTATCTAAAACTAGAAATATGAAGTATAACTCTGAAGTCCTATTGTAATTATGCAAAGTATGGGCCATTAATGGTGGTTTAGAATCGTGATGGCTCCCATTGACTAGGACAATTGGTTGTAAATGGCTCTGTTTACTTGTAAGCCTCCCTGTGTTCCTGTGAGTCAGGCCGGGAAGAATGGAGGCTTGGGGTCTCACAGGACATGTGACCATGTCACCTGATACTGGAATCCATTTTAAACCTGGTGCTTTTCCATTTAGAAGGAGGGGTGGGGACCCACAGAGACAAAAGATTCCCGCCTTGTGCTAAAGCTATAAAAGGGGGTGGAACAGAACAAAGAGGCTGCCACTCATGAGAAATCCCCTAGTTATCACCTGAGCTGGAACTAACAAGGACTGTACCAGGGGAAAGGATTGGTCCCAGACTAGGAAGGAATCTAGTCTGCGAAAGAAGCTTATTGGAACATCTCTGAGGGTGAGATTTACCTGTATTCAGTTTCTCAATGTATTAGGCTTAGACTTGTGTGTTTTGTTTTATTTTGCTTGGTAACTTACTTTGTTCTGTCTGTTATTACTCGGAATCACGTAAATCCTACTTTTTATACTTAATAAAATCACTCGTTTATGAATTAACCCAGAGTAAGTGATTAATACTTGGGGGAGCAAACAGCTGTGCATATCTCTCTATCAGTGTTATAGAGGGTGAATACTTTATGAGTTACCCTGTATAAGCTTTATACAGAGTAAAACAGATTTATTTGGCATTTGGATCCCATTGGGAACTGGGTGTCTGGATGCTGGAGACAGGAGTACTTGCTGAGCTGTTTTCAGTTAAGTCTGCAGCTTTGGGGGCATGGTTCAGACCCTGGGTCTGTGCTGCAGCAGGCTAGCATGTCTGGTTCAACAATACAGGGTTCTGGAGTTCCAAGCTAGAAGGCTCAGAGGAAGTTTCAGCACATCGGGTGACAGTCCGAAGGGGGTCTTTGTGACCGAACCTGTCACATGGGGTGTCTAGAGGGACCTGGGATTGTTCTGGGGGTGGCCAAAATAAAGGCCCACCAGGGCTGATGGGACTTGGCCCCAGGGAGGGTGTTGTAGGGCTGTGAATGGCAGCAGAGGCCATGTTTCTCTGGGTCTCTGGGTATGTCTACACTACAAAATTAGGTCGGATTTATAGAAGCCGGTTTTATAGAAACCGGTTGTATGCAGCCGATTGTGTGTGTCCCCACATAAAATGCTCTAAGTGCATGAAGTCAGCGGACCGCGTCCACAGTACCGAGGCTAGCGTCGACTTCCGGCGCATTGCACTATGGTACCTATCCCACAGTTCCCGGAGTCTCCGGCGCCCATTGGAATTATGGGTTGAGATCGCAATGCCCGAATGATGCAAAGCAGTGCCGCGAGGGGTTCTGGGTACATTGCGTCAGGCCCCTCCCCGCCGTCACAGCAACGGCAGACAATAGATTCGCGCCTTTTTACCTGGGTTACCTGTGCAGACAACATACCACGCCAAGCATTGAGCCCGCTCAGCTCAGCTCACCGTCACCATATGTCTTCCGGGTGCCGGCAAACGTGGGACTGCATTGCTAAACAGCAGCAGCAGCTTACTGCCTTTTGGCGGTAGACGGTGCAGCATGACTGGTAGCCTTCATTGGCGATCTGGGTGCAGGCAGCCGTGGGGCTGGCAGCCGTGGTGCTGCATTGCACCAGCCCCATGCCTTTTGGTAGAAGATGGTTTATTACGACTGGTATCCGTCGTCGTCATACGGCAGCGGCTGTCGATCATGGGCACCCGGGCAGACAATGATGGTTATCAGTCGTAGTATGCTATTTTCTGCCAAGTGCCCAGTATTGTCTGCTAAGCACCCAGAAGAGGCCGATGGCGATCTGGGTGCTGGCAGACATGGGGCTGGCAGACGTGGGGCTAGATTGCTACACAGCAGCAACCCCTTGCCTTTTGGGCAGTAGATAGCATATTACGATTGGTATCCATCATTGTCATATTGCAGTGGGAATCAGATGGTGCAATAGACCTGAAGGCTTACTGCCAAGCGCCCAGTATTTGCTGCCAAGCACCCAGAAAATGCCAAGGGCTATCAATCATGCTGCACCGTCGTCTTAAGATGTAAAAAATAGATTTATTCTGCATTCATTTGCTTCCCCCCTCTCTCCTGCTAAACCCAGGCTTTTGAGTTCAATCTTTGGGGGGGGGGGGCATTCTGTGTGACAGTTGTTTGTCTTTCTCCCTGATGCAAAGCCACCTTTCTTGATTTTAATTCCCTGTACCTGTACGCCATGTCGTCACTCGCCCCTCCCTCCCTCCCTCTCTCCCTCCCTCCCTTCTTCCCCTGGTCCGTCAGATACTACTTTCGCGCCTTTTTTCAGACCAGACGCCATAGCCAGCACTGGGATCATGGAGCCCGCTCAGATCACCGCGGCAATTATGAGCACTATGAACACCACGCGCATTGTCCTCGAGTATATGCAGAGCCTCCTGGACATGCCAAAGCCAAACCAGGACCAGCTGAGGAGGAGGCGATTGCAGCGCGGCGACGATAGTGATGAGGAAATTGACATGGACCTCTCACAAGGCACAGGCCCCAGCAATGTGGAAATCATGGTGTTACTGGGCAGGTTCATGCCGTGGACCGCCGATTCTGGGCCCGGGAAACAAGCACAGACTGGTGGGACCGCATCGTGTTGCAGGTCTGGGACGATGCCCAGTGGCTGCGAAACTTTCGCATGCGTAAGGGCACTTTCATGGAACTTTGTGACTTGCTTTCCCCTGCCCTGAAGCGCCAGAATACCAGGATGAGAGCAGCCCTCACAGTTGAGAAGCGAGTGGCGATAGCATTGTGGAAGCTTGCAACGCCAGACAGCTACCGGTCAGTCGGGAATCAATTTGGAGTGGGCAAATCTACTGTGGGGGCTGCTGTGATCCAAGTTGCCAGGGCAATGAGAGACCTGGTGATATCAAGGGTAGTGACTCTGGGAAACGTGCAGACCATAGTGGATGGCTTTGCTGCAATGGGATTCCCAAACTGTGGTGGGGCCATAGACGGAACCCATATCCCTATCTTGGCACCAGAGCACCAAGCCACCGAGTACATAAACCGCAAGGGGTACTTTTCAATGCTGCTGCAAGCCCTGGTGGATCACAAGGGACGTTTCACCGACATCAACGTGGGCTGGCCGGGAAGGGTACATGATGCTCGCGTCTTCAGGCACTCTGTTCTGTTTCGAAAGCTGGAGGAAGGGACTTTCTTCCCGGACCAGAAA